AAATAGTCATCTCTCGGAGGAATCAGTCCAGTCATCACCCGAAGACGATTGTAGATACTAACAATCGAAACGTCGTGAACTAACGTGACTTGGGATCTCTAAACTTTTTATTTTCTTTTTTTCATTCCTTTATTTTCATTCTGTTTTTATTTGTTCAATTGTTATATTTTTACTTGTAGTTTATTTCACTATTATTTCATTTCAGGTTTATTTGGCTTAATATAATTGTTATTTCCAGCTATTCATTTTTAATTATTCCTTTTTAGTTGTTTCAGGGATTTCAAATCATTTTATATAGTAGACAGTGAAATTAATCATGAAACATTGTCAGTCACCTTCAAACAAATGTATAGATCTTCATGGGGAATATTTTAGAAAACAAAGTGATTTTCGATTATTAATATTTGTTTTTGTTCTCTAATCCCGAAATATAAAAGGCAACCCTCGTATTCAACTCATAGGTGATGGTTTATCTCACAGCATCCTTTGGTGTTGCATTGAGAAATCTGTCTTGAAATTTTCGTATTTCTTTTATAACAAATTTCAACTTCATAAAAAAATAACAAGTCTTTTTTCGGGATCCTGAACTAATGTCTTAAAAATTGTTTATGTTCACGGTGAAATTTCGCGGCATTAGTGAATACTATTCATAAAATACTCATTATGTAATGAATGAGATAGAAAACATATTAAAAAAAAATATACCTTAAGTTTCATTTTTCTCCTTCACAGAACTCTGTTTTATGAATTCCACATCTTACAGGTATTGCATATGGCCAATTTACATGGAATCCACTTAAGAACTGGATGTCACTGCAATCCCGGAGCCTGCCAGCGATTTTTGAAACTGAAACCCAGTGACGTTTTGAAACATTTTAGTGTGAGTATTGGAAAATAATTATCTATCACCCATGATAATAATTATGGAGTTATCACAATGAACTTTATTTTGAACGCGTTTCGCTACAAGGTAACTTCATCAGCTGGATTGGTTGCTGAATCAAAATATTTAGTCTGGGCCACAAGATCCTGTTTTTGGAACTCCTGTCCAAGGGCACCAAAAATTATGATCCAGGGCTCATTCGATTCGGAATGACCTGTATGGTTCTTTCAATATTGTCTGAGAGTGAAAGAATGTCAAGAATGCAAACATGTCGCTACATCAAAGAAAGCAACATAGTCGTCTCAAGCAAATAGCACTGCAATTCATCCATAAAATCATTGAGATATGTCTACCCTCTATATCCCTTGAGGACGCCGCTATCGAGCCATTAAAATAGGGATATGAATGCGAAAATACCGCCAAAAGAACCAATCGATGTTTTTACTGATTCTACGTTTAAGATAATATTAATAGGCGTCGGACTGGGGGTATTAATACAGGGTGTAACTGAATAAGTGTAAAACATTTAAGGAGGTGATTCCTCATCGACAAAACTATAGGATCTTTCATATAAAGGAACTTCATTGGAGCATCCCATGTTAAGATACAGCCCCTTAAAAGTGGAGCATAAAATTTGTATAACATTTTTTTTCACAAGCACTGAAAAAGTTACAATATTGAAATTAACCTGACGTTTTGTACTACCAAAAAGACACTTAGCCANAGGGTCGATCCCTGATGGTTCACTAAGATTTTAAAATTCTTTTTCGGCATGGGACTCGATAAAGGTTCTTCACGAAATTCTGGAGGTATTCCATCTATTAATTACTTCAATAATCTAGTTGATCAAATGAGGAAATGAAGTATCTACCATAACAACTCTACGTGAGTTTCATTTATGTTCCTGGAAACACGATCTTCAATGAGGATTTTTCCATGTTGCAGATTTGAAGATGGTACATTATCGTTTCTGTCCATATTATCGATAAAACATGGATTCGACACAATAAGGCGACTGAAGTTGAACTTCGATATAATATCAAAACATACCTTCTCATTAGCTCGATATGTATACAGAAATTTGATATCTTTACACCACTCCAATGGCAAACCCGTTAGTATTCTATATCACGACACAACATTTGAGGATCCAAACTTTCAAGGTGGCAAAGTCAACTTTACTTTACTGAGACCAAATGGAGAACATATCGGATATTCAGAGGTAAGATGTATATTCGTGTTTTCAACTGTATATTTTACTAATAGAGATTAGAGTCTATTGATATAAAATATATGTGATGAAATATATGTAATGAAAAATTATTATATTCCATAATCCACTCTGATCAACTGCATTCTTTATTTATCTTAATGTGGCGAGGAACTTTCTTGGATACAAAGTTGGCCCAACTCATATCTAAGCAAAAATCAACATGCGAAATACATACATTTTCAAAAAATAATTACAATGCAATATAAATTTTAGGAAAACAGGTGATTTATAAATATGTTGATTATTGACATTTTATGAAATTGAAATGTGTCATAATGACTATGTTGCTCCTATTCTAATAGCTATTCATATACCAAAAACCTCCAAACAATAAAGTTCCACGGGGAATGGAACAGTATCACAGAAACTCCGAATACGGAGTTTTCGTTTCGGGATTTGTCAACCCTAGTGTTACAATCTGACAGCTCTATCGTAAAGTTGGACATTTTTGAGCCTATACGTACTTAAAACGTTTTGACATATGCGCGCTATTTCTGTTGTTTACAGTAACTTAAAAGATTCATCTCGGCCCAAAAATGGAATTTCCACTTTTATTTGTAACTAACGTTACTGCAGTTTCGTCCTATATGGACATTCTCAAACTTATACAATAAACTAACAATGATTCATTACATTCGCCAAAATATACCATTCAGTACCATTGAGTACCTGCATTTACAGTTCACAATGCGGATGTACCAATTCAAAAACCGGAGAGTAAATTAAATCGATTTGATCATTTAACAGGTTGCACCCGCAATGTTTATGCTTGTGAATTTCCAAGGAACACTTTCTTGCATAGTGCAGAATTTCCGTATCGTTCAGATTCGGAAACTTATGGTTGCATGCCAAGGAATGGTTTTTTTCCCTAGTCTGAAGGACCTTTCATGTTCAGCATACCGTTTTTCGAAATTTCGGCCGAGTTGTCCCACATAAACACTATTAGACTCCTGACACTTAAGCTTATAAACTCCAGATTTTTCCAACTTGTCGACCTTATCTTTGGCATTGAAAAGGAAATGAGATAACCTGGCATGTGGTCTGAATGCTACTTCCACATTGTTTTTTCTGAAGAAACCGATTATTTCTGTTCTTTTTCCAAAATATGTTAGCGTTACCCATTTCTTGATTTCTGGTTGTTTGACCTGAGGATATATTAATCTGTGAGTGAATTTCCGGCTTTGTTTCCTGACTAACTTCTGGATAGTATTTGCGTTGAAACCATTATTATGACCTATCTGTGTAATTGTATCAATTTCCCTACCTAGATTGTCTGCAGACAAAGGCAGTAAGAATGCTCTGTGCAACATTGAGTTGTAGGCTGCTAATTTATGACTGTCTGGATGGAAAGAATCGCTTGGGATGGTGATGTCTGTATAGCTGTATAGCAACATATGGGCTCAAAACCAAATGGTCTCAGCAACTGAGCATCTCAGCGATTGAGAGGTGTTCAGCAAAACGATGATACATCCATCCAAATCTGCTGCCTTTCGCATTGAAAAAAAAATGGAAACTTGGGAACCAGGAAGCTCCAAAAGTACGTCCCGAAACAAAGACCCTGTGAAATAGGTACATTTTACTACCCATTTCATGTTTATTATTTTGCATGAACGGAAGGAATTTGAAATTGTCTTTCCGATATAGAATGGTTTTTCTTAAAACAGTTTTTTTACATACCTCTTGACTCAAGAGGGATTTCAAACCACGATAGGTCTTCAAACAAATAAACGAATGGAATATTGCCTGTACTTGATAGACATATCATCAAACACCAAAAATAGAGCAGATTAATATGAGGTCTGTTCCTCTCAACAGATACTGCATGACTTTTCATTTTTCCACAATCTCATAAAAAAGGCAATCTTCAAAACTGTTTTTGTTGAACAAAAAACTAACTTGAACTCTAAAACCTTCGGCTTTAGTTGAAACTTTGCCCAACGTACAGAAGTGTAATATCCATCTCTCTTCAATACATGTCAGAATGAGTACAGAATAAGTACAAGGTTATAAACAATTAAAGGTCGCACCATGAATATTGGATGAACGGGATTGGATGATTTCATACTGACGCAAGAGCAGAGGACAGTATAGAAATGTTAACTAGATTGGGTCAACCTTGAAGGTAAATAACCTGTGACTCAAATGTAAACAATGAACACCACTCCGGAAAGTTTACTTGAGATTCAGTAAGATCATGAACATCAAATGTTACGATTATCACAACAATACAAAGAAATAAACAATTATATACATGGTATAATACATCGGGTGAGTGAGATAGTATAGCACTAAACAAATTCATCAAATGAAGGTAATTACGATTGAATTATAAAAATATTTCTGCATATGAGATACAGAAAGCTAAATTTATGTGTACTTCCAGGAGACAGCAGGTAAGCTATAGAATATCATTCAATTGAAGAATTGATAAATGAATTTTGATCTTATTTTAGGTTATCACAACACTCTACTACTAGGAAGTAGATTCATCAAGGGAAACATAGTGATACTGTATCAATTCACAAATAAAGCTATAAATTTTATGTTGTTGAATTTTATCTCATGGTATTGAATAGTTCACATATCAAGAAAAGAAAACAAATAGCATTTCATTTTTATATTATTTTAAATTTAAATGCTACAGCATGCAACCACAAGTTTCCGAATCTAAACGATACGGAAATTCTGCACTATGCAAAGAAGGGTTGCCGTTGCAAACTCGATTATTTAGAATCCTTGCAAATTCACAAGCATAAACATTGCGGGTGCAACCTGTTAAATAATCATATCGATTTAATTTACTCTCTCTCTGTAAATGCAGGTACTCAATGAAGTACCTGAATGGTATATATTGGCGAATGTAATGAATCATTGTTAGTTTATTGTATAAGTTTGAGAATGTCCGTATAGGACGAAACTGCAGTAACGTTAGTTCCAATTAAAAGTGGTAAAAAACATAGAAAAATTTTCATTTCTCTTTTCATTATGATCTCCTACCACGTAGTAACGACTACATCCATCAATTTATCCTTAAACTATATTTATTTCATCTATACTTTGGGATCAATCAGCCGTATATTGTTTAGAAAAATGACTATTGATATTTTCCGATACCAGAGAGGGAGCCTGAAAATCAGCTACCGAGCCCAAGGCGTACAGCGTCATCTGGCCGCGAATAGATTAAGCAATAATTTCGATATTTCAAGGAATTACGTACAGCGTCATCTGCCCGCGAATAGATCAAGCAATAATGTCGATTATTCTGTAAAATACAGATCCAGTGTTTGAGACTTACAAACAAACATATATACGTGTGAAGCTAATAAAAGCGTGTTAATGATAACTTTTTTCAAAGCTCTTATTTTCATAAAAATGTCGGTCGTTTTATTAGAGAAGAACCTCAAATGAGTCTACAAATTCTCAGAAACTGTACTCAGTTTTCTTTTTATTGTGAAACTAGAAAAACGATTGAGATATTTTGATTTTCTTCTTCAAAATATATATTCTCGTTCTCGATGTTGTGACTTGCAAAAGTACCGACTCCATTCTGGTTAGACAGGGATGCGACTTTAATTCGACAAAATATTATATTTCAGTCAGGACATGTTTGCGGAGATCAAAATGATTTGATTGATGGTTATCCGACTGGAACTATAAGATTATCCTTCGGATACATGTCAACGAAAGAAGATTGCGACACATTTCTGAAAATGATAGAGTCCTGCTTTGTATCACATCCAATCATTAGAAAAATTCCTCCGCACTGGAATCAACTAGAAGATCGATCCAGAAAACTGTTTTATAGTAACGGGAAAAAATTAACAGACAAAAAAGTTGATATCGTGTTTCCCATAACACCAGAAACAGTTCATGATAAGAATAACCCTTATCGAGATATTCGAGGAAGTCTGGAACATATTTTCCTATACCCCATCAAGTCTTGTGGCGCATATCAAGTCGCACGGAATTGGATTATCACTCCAAAAGGGTTGAAATATGATCGGGAATGGATGATTATAAACTCGGCTGGTATATGTCTCACACAAAAACAAAACAAAAAGTTATGTTTGCTGAAACCAGTTATTGATTTGAAGAAGAAGTTGCTAGTACTACAATTTAAAGGTGAGTTACCATGATTAGGTAAATATATTACATACTGATTTATTCATCATATGATTGTACTTTTACTTTTTAAGACTTCAAGATGTTTCAACTGATATTTTTCCTAATATATACTCTTGTTTGAAGGTGGCTGACAATGTTTCATAGTGTATTTCATCAGTTCGGACTTCCATTGTCTAGAATGATATAAATTGCTTTGAAATCCGTGAAAGAATCTGTAAAAAAAGATTAGCTGAAAAAAAATACCAATTTTTATTAAGGAAAACATTGAAATTATATTCTGTCCATTCCCAATTGGAACGGCAATAAAAATAAGAGTACAGTCATTCTACCTATTACACAAGACAAATAGAATACAACAATAATGACTCAAAAAAAATATGGAATGTGGTGAAAAAACTCACCAAGAGTGATAAAACTCAAAGAAGTATTGACGTTATTAAAGATAGTACTGGTAACCTCATCACCGATAAAAAAGATATTACCAACGAATTCAACGAAGTATTTGCGTCCATTGGAAAAACATTAGCAAGCAAAATAAACAAAACAGCAACCTATACACCAGTAGAAAAGAATGTATGCAACTCCTTGGTTCTTCTTCCAATAGACTCAAATGAGCTCTACAACATAATCCAAAGTCTGAAAATTAAAAAAGCTACTGGTAAAGATAACATCAGATCAGAAACCATCAAATCAATAGCAAACCATATTCTAAAACCATTAAAATACTTAATAAATAGTTGTTTCGAAACTAGTATATGGCCGTCAGACTTTAAAGAGTCACTCATAATTCCTTTATACAAAAAAGGGGACCACACCATAATCACAAACTACAGACCTATTTCTCTTATAACACACATTTTCAATTTTTTTGAAAAAGCTATAAAAAATCGTTTAACTTCATTCTTGAATAAATAAAATATAATTTCTGAACATCAATTTGGCTTTCAAGAAAAGAAATCCACCGAAGACGCAATAATAACTTCAATGTCTAAAATAACCACAGTACTTAATGATAGCAAACCGTGTCTTTGCGTATTTATAGACCTTTCCAAAGCATTCGACACGGTTCATCACGGTTTGCTTTTGAGATCGCTTGAAAACATTGGTGTAAGAGTACAGAGCCTGAAGCTCTTCGAAAGTTACCTCTCAAATAGATATCAACGAGTGAAACTCGACCAAGTTGTCAGCGAAACGAGAAAAATTGAATACGGAATACCACAAGGTACTGTCTTAGGACCCATTCTTTTCAATATATACGTGAACGAACTATACTCTCTTCAAAGTGATGGATCCATTCTTGGTTTCACTGATGATACAGCAATACTTTATACTGCTGATACCTGGGAAGCACTCAAAGAAAAAACTCAAAATGACTTTGGTAAAATAAAAACATTTTTGAGTAGTAAACTGCTTACAGTGAACTTAGAAAAAACAAACTACGTCCCTTTCAGCTGTAACAAAACTGGTTTACCCATATTTAATAACTTAACAGTGAACATATATGACAGGCCATGCCTTATCTTGCATCTCAATGAAATTAAATATCTGGTAGTCATAATCGACTCACACTTAAGATGGGATTCTCATATAAAATATATTATCAATAAACTACAGACTATTCTCTATAGATTCAAATATCTCAAAAAGATATTACCAACACACCTACTAAAAATACTATACCACGCACTAGTGGAAAGTCATCTTAGGTATGGAATACTAGGATGGGAAGCTGCAGCAAAAACCTACTTACATCTTCTAGAAATAAGTCAAAAACTGTTTTTCAAGCTCATTTTCTCAAAAGATCGACTATACAACTCAGATCAACTGTACCTGGAAGCAAAAATCATGAACACTAGACAGCTATATTTTTTCCTTACACTCATAAAATATCACTCCACACAAACACCAGTTCTCACTACTCATCCATACTATACACGAAATGGAAACCAATACCCAGTTCCCTATATGATGAAAACAACAACACAACGTTCTTTTCAATACTTAGCACCAAAATTATATAATAAATTACCTGAACGGTTAAAAATATTGATATATCTGCCTCAATTCAAAAATGCATTAAAGAAGTTCATTCTTGAGAATCCAAGGCAATTAGTTCATCACTTTTTCGATGATCATGTTTACTAAACAAATCCTGAACCCTAGTAAGTTGTTGTATACTGCTCATGAGAGCCTTATTGTCATCCCCACTAATACTACTATGTTTTTACTTTAACATTGTTCATTCTTCTGCGTAACTATTCCATCATTCGCATTCCTTTTAAACATTATCACATTTTACTGCTAAACAAGTGCAACAACATTACCGCTCATTAGCTTCATCCATATGTTTCGTAAGATAACACTTTTGTATCACAATGATTATTACTTACATAAATAGGAAGGAACTTCATAATTACTCTGATTATTATTTTATATACTATGTATTTGTTTATAAATTTTTCTATTGTTTAGTACTTGTATATGTATGTTATAGTTATCCGTATTTTTAGGTATTGTATGGCGAAACAAGTGCAATAGCACTTATCGCTCATCGGCTTTATTCACTTCATTTTATTGTGAGACATTTCTTTGTATTATGCAAAATTGAATAAAGAGTATTATTATTCCCGTCAATTCCTGCCTCGACCAGATATTTTTCTCGAGAGAATTTATCTGGTTGAAGCTGGGATGATTCTGCAACCGTGTTTGGAATCACACGTTAAAAGGTAAGACCTCGTTAGTCCTTAGATCGCATAAGTTTCTAACGTCTGAGAGTTGTCGTTCGTATGGGGGCGACAGCTGATTAACGGAAAAACAGATTTTTTAACATAGAGAATATCAC